GCACGTGTATTTCAATATCAGAGCCATAACAAAAACCTCCCAGGCCAGGATGGGCTTTCAGGCCATGTGCCAAGTTGGGTCAGAAGAACTAAGTATTCTGGGTTAGCCACTGCAAGAGAAGAATGAATTCTGGAAGATCTAAAAAGGTCAGACACGTCCCTCTTAAAGGCATTAAGCAAAACAGCCCTGCAAGGTGGACCACCCATTGGTCCTGAGACACCTGGAAATAACCCCATCAATAGCAGCCAGCAGACACAGCAATATATGAGGCCATCTAGAACCAATCAAACTCCCGTCCAGCAATTAGCATGAGTCTGGGAAGCATGAAAGCTCTTTATTCCCACTAGTCATTCCAAGGACAGAGGGAAACAGTATGAAGAGCAAGAATTTAGGAAGGGGGGCCCAGCTCTGAGAACAGCCCTGGCCGCCCAGCCTGTGGTTGCTGGCACTCTCCTTGCCCACCCAGTGCATGCTGTCAAGAGTACCCAGCACAATCCCCACCGTCTCTCCCACCGTCTCTGTTAGCTCTTTTCTCTGTGTGTCAGCCAGGAAATGCTTCACCTCTTCAGGAATACTGAGCAAGATCAAGATGCAGCAAGGATATGTCCTGCCTCGGTTGAAAGCTTCTGCCTGCTCTGTATTTTCTGTTGAGTAAACTGAACTTTCAAAGTGTTGTGTGTATCAACCAGTGCAGCCCACGTTAACATTCAAAACCTCCTTTGAGGTCTACTGTTTCCCAAGATGGACGGTCATCTGAGTGGGATGGTGTAAATTGGTGACCTGCCACAGCAGGGGGTTGGCCTCCCAACTCTGCCCGTCTGTGATTCTATGACGTGGCCAAACAGTTTAACCCAGTGCCCTTCAGGTGACTGAGCAAGAAAGAGATCTTGGCATTTTGGTGGGCAATCTGCTGTGTGCAGCTGCTGTGAAAAAAAAGTCAGCTCCATGTTGGACATCGCTGGGAAAAGAATAGAAAATAAAACTGCAGGTATCCAGTTGCCCCTAAAATTTATTCAGAATATTCTGTGCAGATCTGATCCCCGCATCTAAAAAGTTATTGTTGTATATGAGTACATCAACTTTCCCCAACTGGATGAACTCCAGATGTTTTGGATTATAACTCCCATCCTCCTGGACTAACATGGCCCATGTTCAGGAGTGCTGGGAATTGTAGTCAGCACATCTGGAGTGCTGTGTATGACCTGTGTTCAAGCTGCTCCGGATGTCCTTGCAACCTCAGATTTGGTATATTTGCTCTAAATCCGGCGGAAGCAAGTGAGACCTGTGCTCTTTGCAGGAGTGAGGAACCCTTTCATCTCCAGGGCTGGATTCACTTTGGAGAAGCTCTTCAAGGCCACATGCCAGTGGTGGGAGGAGCCAAAGGCAGAAGGGGTGAGAGGAAAGGCGAAAGAAGTGAGAGGAGGGGAGAAAGGAGTCTAGCCAAAAGTACCAGCATATTTGAGCTTAAGCCTCTTGCTGCCAAGAATTAACCCAGGTTCCCTTTAGATGCCAGGAAGTACATCTTGACAGTTAGGACCCCCAGGGTATGGGATGGACTTCCACAGGACGTGGTGAAGCCCCATCGGTGTGGATGTTCAAAGATAGACTGGACATGCACATGGTAAGCATGTCATGAGTGGAGCCAGCTGGAGCCGGGGGTCAGACTAGATGGCCCGAGAGGACCCTTCTGACTCGCTCAGTTTCTATGTTTCTATATTTCTAATTAAGCTTTAGAAAGGCATTTCAGTTTCCTGGTGTGGGGAAAATTGTACAAAAGCAGGGGAAATGCCAAATGATTTGTGGGTTGGCCCAGAGGGAGGCACATAACTCTCTGGAGAACACCAGAGGGGCCATATTTGGGCTTCCGATAGACTGGATTTATATTTGTTGCGGTTACGTGCTTATTCTTCAGTTGTAAGGAACCAGAGAATGACCTGCTTTGTTGTTCAATTCAACTCAACTCTGAATTATGGTAACCCTGTGAATGAAAACCCTCCAGAACGTCTTATCCATGACAGCTTCCATTCGGGAGTCCATCCATTTGGTCTTCCTTTGCTTCTTCTGCCTTCGACTTTCCCTAACATGATTGTCTTCTCCAGGAAGTCTTGCCATCTCATGATGTGTCCAAAGTATGACAGCCTCACTTCTGTCCTTTTTGCTTCTAGGGAAATTTTTGGCCTGAGTTGCTCTAGGATCCACTTTTTCATCTTTCTGTCAGTCCAGGATATTTGCAAAGATCTCCTCCAGCACCATCTTTTCAACACATCAATTTTCTTCCTGGCATATCATGTTATTTTAATGCTTTAAAATCACCATTTAAAATTTGGCCTCTTGTCCCAAGTTTCCTTACTTTCAATATAAATATTTGAAGCCCAAACACTATCAATAATGAAGTATACCACTCTTTCCCTGGCTTAGGGACAAATTCTTCTTGTGTCCTTTCTCCTACCAGGTAAATCAAAGAGGAAGAAAAACATTTAATGCCCAGAGTGCACTAAATGTTTTTCTGAATCCTTGATGCTTCTCAGACATCAGAGACTCCACAAGGGAAAGAAACCTTATAAATGTTTGGACTGTCAGAAATGTTTTCCTGAACGTTCAGAGCTTTTGAGACACCAAGGCAACCATGTGGTAGAGCAACCTCATAACTTCTTGGAGCACAGCAAATATTCTTCTGAGCAATTCTCCCTAGTTTGGCCCAATAAAACCCATTTGGGAGAGAAACCTTTAAAGTGCTTGAAATGAATGTGGCAGATCATTTGCTTTCAGATCAACCCTTGTGACACGTTCACATATCCATACAGGAGAAAAACCATATATGTGTTTGGAATGTGGGGAATCTTTTGCTCAGAAAGGAAGTCTTGCGGGACATCAGAGAATCTACATGGAAGCCAAACCTCATCAATGCTTTGGGTATGGCATGCATTACCCCAAGCACACACACCTTGTGAATCACCAAAAGGCTAATATGGGAGAAGTACCTTTTAAGTGCCTGGAGTGTGGGAAGTGTTTTGCTCAAAAGGGGCGCCTTACCAAACATCAGAGAATCCACACAGGCATGAAACCCTTCCAATATGTAGACTGTGGGAAACGTTTTTCTCGGAAAAGCAATCTTGACGTGCACCAGCAAATCCACACAGGAGAAAAGCCTTACTGATGTTCAGTATGTGGCATGGGCTTTGCTGGCTGCTCATCCCTAATTTACCATCACTGAAGTCACGCTGGGGAGAAGCCGTTTTCATGCTTGGAATGTGGGAAACGTTTTGCTGGCCAATCATCCCTCCTGTACCACATGAGAAGGCACACAGGAGAGAATTCTTTCAACTGTTTGGAGTGTAGGAAGGGTTTTGCCAGCAAATCTTCCCTCATTTGCCATCTTCCTTCACTTGCCATCAGAGGACACACATGGAAGAAAAACCATAAAATGCTTGGTGCATAGGAAAGGCTGCTCTGATAGGTCATCCTTTGTTTACCATCTGCGGTCCTCTCCCATCTCCACATGGGAGAGGACCATTTCAAGTGTTTGGAGCTTGAGGTCCCTGTTGCTCCCAAGCAGCCCCTTTCATGGCTCCACAGAGTCCTCGGAGAACACATTTCTAAGCAACAAGATTATAACTCTGGAAAAGTGATCTAATGGAACCAGGACCACCTGTCTTAGAAATCCCCATTTCCCCTGGTGTGTGTTTTATTAACACTTTATTATCATGGGACAAATATGGATCCCAGTTAATGCTGCCTTATCCAGGTGGGGAACCTCCAACTATTTGGACTTCAGTTCCCATCACCTTCAGCCAGGATAACCCGCAATCAGGAATTCTGGGAATTGGTCCAAAGCACCTAAAGGGCACCAGCTTGGGGAAAGCTAGTTAAGAAGATAAAAATATAGGTTGATTTAACTTTTGTTCATACTTTAAGTCCTTTCAGCATCTTTAAAAGGTTGCCATGTGTCTAGCTTTTGCACACAGGGAATGTTGGAATTCCTTTATGTTTAAATTTATATACATTGAACAAATGAGAGCTACACAAAATGCACAGTAACTAACTGTGTAATTCCTGCACTCTCTTCTACCTCCTACCAGGATATGCCTTTCCCTGCTTCCAATAATCAGTTGGCTCCAGGTGAACCTCTCTGGGGAGTGTATTCCACAATCCGGGTGCCAGGGCAGAGAAGGCCCTCCTCCGGGTGCTCACCCTCCTAATTTATTTTAAGGAGGGCTCCTGAAGAAGGACCTCTGCCTCAGAACTCAAAGGGCAAGAGGGCATATAGGAAAGAAGGTACTCCTTCAGGTATCCAAAACCGAAGCCATTTAGGTAGTTTAAAATGGTTTAAAAGCAGCCATGATCCCCATGTTAGAACAACAGCAACAACAAAACTATTTGCAAGCCCCGATTGTATTAAAAAAAATAATCTGAGCATTTTCAGTTCTGAATTTCGAACTCTGAAATCCCAGTCCTGTAGCGGCTGTGGGATCAAAACAGGAGTTTGCACCTGCTGCCTGGATCACTTGCTATGAGTAAACATTTTGCGGCCCGGGACTTCGCTCCCTAGGTGGGCTCTATGTTCATGTTTGGCTTTCTGTGTGCTCTGGCTGTGCGCACATTTTGTAATAAAGTGGACATCGGGCTTTTCCACGCAGCGGGTTCAGCACCGCGCTTGTGCGCTCTTCCGCAGGCGTCGCGTGGTTTCCCCTGCAAAGCCTCTCCCGGGGTTGCGTTGCGTTGCAGGAAAAGCTTGGGCGGCTCAGCCGCTCGCCAGTTCTGCATTTTCCGTGCCATTTCGCCTAGAGATCCGCCGGGCCCCTGGGCTCACCCCTCTCCCGGCCTCCCCCGGCCTCCCTTGCCCGCACCTGCAACTGCGCTTCCTCTGCCTTTTTTCCCTAAAGGGTTAAAACCGATGTCGCTCAGACTCCTAGAAAGGCCGCAGCAGGGCCGGGAAGGAGGGATGGGAAAGGGGAAGGCGCTTCCTGTGTTAGTACTCGGCCGCCCTGCCTTTGGTCGGGGGCGCCTGGCTCAGGGGGTCCCCAGAAGATGCACAGGTGTGGCTGGCCAGGTGGGTGCGTCGGGACAAAGGGAAGGTGCGGCGGCCGGCGAGGGTGGGACGCGGAAAGCAGGCGGAAGATCCGCGGGGCAACGCGAGCGGCGCGCAAAGCGCAGGGCTGCGTCCGCCGAGCCGGAGGGTGTCACAAGCTGCGGCGTGTTTTGCTGCACTGCCCTCTCCCCTTTCCTGGGAGTAAGGCCCCCTGAGCGCCGTGGGACTTGCTTCTGAGTAGACGCACAGTCACTGCAGTGAGCTCTGTGCGTTCGGATCAATTAATTCTAGCTGTTTTACTGTTTAGTATGCGCTAGTCCTCCTCGCAGGGTGGAAGGTGGCTGAAGAAATAACAATGCTTGCAACAGCCTGGGTTGTTGTTGTTTTATTGCTTGGCATTTATAGCCCACCCGTCTTCCTCTTACGAGGTTCTCTTCGGCTCCAGTTTAGCCTCACAACAACAGCCCTGTGAGGTAGGGTAGGCTGAGAGTTTGTGACTGGCCCAAAGGCACGCAGTGAGCTGCATGGGGACTCGAACCCGCGTTTCCCAAGGCCCCGTCCCACACTTTTATTGCTATGCCACACCGGCTGTCCTTAGTTTGTTCGAAACTAGGGATTTCCAGTTGCCAGAAAATATACACGGAGGCAAATGTTATTGATAGCGCTTTCTCTCCTGTGTTTTCATACACCAGGCGGGATACTCTGACATTTCTGCAGCTGAAGTTACGAGCAATGCTCATCCCTTTGTGTCTGTAATGGGCGCAGGAGCATGGATGTGGCAGGCCAGGTGGCAATCCAGTACAGGGGGATGGATCCAGATTTAATCTGGATTGACCGGCTACTGGAAGTGCACCCTCTGTCTCACAGCAGCTGATGCCTTCAGCCCTCTGAAAATGTTTCTTGGAAAATCAGGATGAGAAAATGGGGTGAACTGTGGCATGGGGGAAAACCCAAAAATTGGGCAGAGGGACCTTCTGTCAGTCAAGCCTTTCCTCTTAAGAAAGGACCCTCTTGCTCAAGGCAGGGCCAAGGTCCAGCCCCAGGTGTCTGCATTGGGGCATGTTCTTGCATACAGTTAGTTGCATGGAAGACAGAATTTTGCTGGGTGCAGCTTCTCCTCAAAGCACATGTAATGGGGCGGCCATCTTTCTTCATGGTTAACGGATTCCTTTCAGTTTGCTGCTAGTTGGGCCAAGATAACTAAGGTCATGGCATCTGGTCCTATAACTTCCTGGCAAATAGATGGGGAAGAAATGGAGATAGTGACAGATTTTATTTTCTTGGACTCCAAGATCACTGCAGATAGGGACTGCAGCCAAGAAATTAAGACGCTTGCTCCTGGGGAGGAAAGCTATGGCAAATCTAGACAGCATACTAAAAAGCAGAGACATCACGCTGCCAACAAAAGTGCGTATAGTCAAGGCCAGGGGTCGGCAACTCGTGGCTCCGGAGCCACATGTGGCTCTTGAATGCCTCTGCTGCGGCTCCGTCGCTTGTGTCACAGCCGCTGACGATCCGCGGCCCGTGCCCGTGCCGGCACAGTGGTGCAGTGGCCGCCAATCCACGGCCCGTGCCGGCACAATGGCACGGCCAGCACAGTGCTTGGATAAATCGAAGAAAAGAAACGTTTCTGAAGAAAACCAAACTTTTGATACTTGGGTAGATTCATTTGCTTTTACTGCTGACGAACTTATAGGTTTTGCTGTTTAATGCATGGAGCCCTTTAGCACTGACTTTGACTCTTCAGGAAGCGGTTCTCCTATTCAAAATATAGGAAAGGAGTCCTACTAGTTTATAATGTAAGATTAAAAATAACAGTTTTTAGTGACTGAACAAGAGCTGAAGCTAAATCATAATGAAGATATACCTAGCGTTAAGGTAAAAAACGATATATGCAGTGTTATCTTCATTTTAGCTGTCAAAAGGGTTTTGCGGCTCCCAGTGTTTTTTGTGTGGGAAATGGGTCCAAATGGCTCTTTGAGTGTTAAAGGTTGCCGATCCCTGGTCAAGGCTATGGTTTTCACAGTTGCAATGTATGGCTGTGAAAGCTGGACCATAAGGAAGGCTGAGCGCCAAAGGATTGAGGCCTTTGAACTGTGGTGCTGGAGGAGACTCCTGCGAGTCCCTTGGACCGCAAGGCGATCAAACCGGTCAGTCCTAGAGGAGATCAACCCTGACAGCTCCTTAGAAGGCCAGATACTGAAGATGAAACTCAAATACTTTGGCCACCTAATGAGAAAGAAGGACTCCCTGGAGAAGAGCCTAATGCTGCAAACAATTGAGGGCAAAAGAAGAAGGGGCGGCAGAGGATGAGGTGGCTGGATGGAGTCACTGGGGCAGTGGCTGTGGGCTTGGGTGGACTCTGAAGGATGGCGGAGGACAGGAGAGCCTGGAGGAATGTTGTCCATGGGGTCGTGAAGGGTCAGACATGACTTAGTGACCAAACAAAAAAAGTCGCATCTTGAGTATCGTGTCCAGTTCGGGGTTCCACAGTTGAGGAAAGATGCAAGCAAGCTGGGAAGGGTTCAGAGGAAAGCAACAAGGATGATCCAGGGATTGGAAACAAACCCTTGAGGGGAGAGATCGAAAGACCTGGGCAAGTTTCGCCTGAAGCACAGAAGACTAAGGAGAGATGAGAAAGTGCCCTTCCAGTATTTGAGAGGGTGTCACAAAGAGGAGGGACAGGAACTTTTGTTGATCATCCCAGAGTGCAGGACACGGGAAGCTGGATCAGGTCATCAGCTTGGAATGAGCTCCCCGCTGAGGCCCACTTGATGCCAACTTTACTCTATTTTCGGCCCCAGGTAAAGGCCATTCTCTACATTTGAGTTGTCTTCTGGGGCCTGCTAGCTGTTAAACAGGTCTTAAGATTGTCTTCAAGTTACATTACAGAAGCAAATAAATCTGCTTATGGTTGTGCATTGTAGATTTCATGATGTTTTAATACAGTGCATTTTTATTTGTCTTTTTAATGTGCTGCCATGAAATGCTCAGAGAGCTTCGGGTGTTGGGTGGTATAGAAAATACACAAACATTGCCTTTCTACAAATGTCACCAAGCTGGTATGCACCAATTCAGATAAGAACAAATGCATAAAAGGATGTAATCCCATTAAAGCAACTGACAGTGCTGTACAAGGTCACTGACCGTTATCCTCTGAACTCCGAGGACTGCAGGAGTTGTGGGGAAGATGAGAGGAAGGGGGAGGCTTGTGAGGAAGAGGAGGGTGGGGAGGACTGCTGGGTTTCCTTATATTCTTCCACGTCCCACCCTGAGAACCGTCCCCAGCACTGGCTCTGAGGTCACTGTTTTGTCTTTGGAGCCACAGCCAGCATGGAAAAAGCCACAGCAACGGCAAGGGCAGAAAGAGAACACTCCAAATTTGGAGCCCCAGCAAAAAAACAACATAGCAATGTATTTTAGCTGGCAGTGCCAGTTATTAAACCTTTGGAGGGGAATTTCAGCCTCTCACAATGGAGGAAAATGTGCAAAAACTGGAAAACCACCAAACTTTTGTTGGTTGGGTGGAAGAGGTGGGGTGTGGAAGTGTGGCCATCTGGGAAAATCTAGAGGGCCCAGGTTTAGCTTCTTGGCCTGGGATTGCCCACCTTGCCCTGGTTGGCCCTGTCCTATTTTGATGGGATCGTCTACAGTGTGCCTGGCATAGCATCACTTTGGAGCATTGTGGGTATTTCAAAATGGCGGCCCAAAGCTGCTTGGACCCTGGCCAGTGATCACAGGTGCTGCGAGCTAAGACCAGGTCTGTTTGTAGCATTGGCTTCTGGAGTCTGATGGCATCAGTCAGGGGGTCAAGAAGCCTTGCTAACTTGGGTCTACAGGATGCTTGGGCTGCATAAGCCTTTGGCCTGAACCTAAAACTTGATTCCTGTCTTTTGTGGTGAGGAGGCTCCTGAGTTGCTTGAATTTGTCATGTTTATTTCTTCTTTCCTTCAGGGGGAAGCCTGGGTTGTAGGTTAGCACGAAGCCAGCTTCTGTGTTTCCTCACTCTCGTTTCTGAATGAGCAGGATTCACAGGCCCAAAGCCAGAAGGCACCCAGTTCCTTCCAGTTAACAGAACAAAGCGAAACGGAGCCCCTCTAAGGTGAAACCATGGCTGGAGAAGGAGGTGCCATGGCAGTCCTGGACCTCCCATTCCAGCATTTCTTCACACCTGTGCTGTGCCCTGCTATTAAAGTGGAAGAGGATGAACCCCCAAATCCCATAAATCAAGAGTGGGGACCCGGAGGTGGCACAAAGGGCGGCCATTCTGTTCAGGCGGGAACGGCCAAAGGGTGTCCAAAATGGACGACGTCAATACAGGTGAAACAAGAGCCAGTGGAGGGGCTGGACCAGTACTGGGAAGATCAATGGCAGGAGTTTCTGAGGGCTTTACAGTCTCCTCAGGCCCAGTGGGAATATTCGCAGCTGCAGGTAGATGACAAGAATGCCAGCACATCAGCTCTGGCGTCCTTCGACAGAGACGTTGAAAGCAGCTCCTGGCCTAGACCAGGGAGAGCAACTCAGATTTTTCCAGGTCTCTGTGGAGATCCTGAAGCAACCTGTAAGTGCCCAGAAGAGAGAGATGGGGAAGATCACAAAACACCCATGAAAGCTGATCTGGATGAGGAAGACATCAGTGCTGAGATCCACCGGAAGCGGTTCCGGCATTTCCGCTATCGAGAGATGGAGGGGCCCCGAGAGGTTAGCGGCCGGCTGCGGGAACTCTGCCACCAGTGGCTGAAGCCGGAGAAGCGCACGAAGGAGCAGATCCTCGAAGCCCTCGTCCTGGAGCAGTTTGTGACCATCTTGCCTCCGGAGATGCAGGGCTGGGTGAAGGCGGAGGACCCCGAGACCTGTGCCCAAGCAGTGGCCTTGGCCGAGGACTTCCTGCTGATTCAGGAGAAGCTGGAGGAAGAGGAACAGCAGGTGTGGTGATATCTTCCGTATAGCTTGAAGTGCCCAATCCTGCCTAATCTTGGAAGTTAAGCAGGGTCAGGCCTGGTTGGAATGTGGATGGGTGACTTGAATGTCATGAACTGCCCAGAGAGCTTTGGCTACAGGCAGTATTGAATGGCAACAACAGCAATAGTAATAGTGATAATAATAATATCCTCTGAGCAGTTTTATGGGTAGTTTCAGGTGACTTGTGAAATGCCTTTAGTTTAAAGCTGTGCTCCTAAGACTCATAGAATAACAGACTCCCAGTTAAACCATCCTTCTTAGAATTCTCCATGCTATTTGTGGCTCGAGAAATTAGAGGAACAATTCACATTTCTCGTGGGTGTGGCGGGGGTTGGAGAAATTCTCCAACAGTTTCTCCCAGATAGGGCTCCCTGCTTGGAGGGGCAGTCTTCTTTGTTTTGTTTTGTTTTGCTTTGTTTTTGGCACAGTTTTGCTCTGCTTCTGGAATGCCTGGGTTGACAGCCAAGCCTTCTAGCCTGCGTTTTCCACAGTGCCCCAATCCAGGGCATTGTGGAGGTGGGAAGAGGTGAGGCAGCCACTGCAAAAAGGGGAAGGGAATTAGGAGAAAATTAATCAGAGTGGCTTCTTATTTCTGGAGGAACCAAGCAAGAAAAGCCTCAGAACATTTCTGAGGAAAATGTTTTCCGAGAAGGTGTTTTAACATTTATTTTGGCCATGTTTTTGACCTTACGTGTGATTTCCACAGTGGACCAGCTTTTTCCAAGTCATGTCGATTCTGCAGATTTCTGGACCTGTTTTGGACAGGTGTTTCCCTTAATGCACATTAGCACAAATTCCCACTAACATGGACAAATTTGTGCTAATAGGAATCAGGGCAAGAAGGAGGTAATTCTGATTTTAAGGAATTTACTTCTGGCAGTGGGATGATAATGGAACAAAAAACGCCTTGACAGTCCAAAAACCAGACTGACTTTAGGACTAAGGCCTGATCTGAAAACAAAGCACATGCAGGCATGAAGCTCTGAACTTCATTTACAGCAGGGAAGGGTAAAAAAGGGTTAAAAAGTTGTGCAAAGATCAAACAAGATAGAAACCCAGGCGCATCTCTTTCAGAAACCCTTGACCCAGGCTGCATCTTCTTAAACATGGGAGGAATCTTTTGAAACGGTGCTGCAGACTAAAGTGCCCTGCCTAGACTCCCTAGATGTTACCTGCAAGTATAATTCTTCCGTTCAGACAGGACTGTAGTCAGTATTCCAGGTTCACCAGTAAAGACTGAAGATCATAATACCTTTCCATGGAGGCCAGATGAACAACCAGCAGCCAGAATCCTTTATTCCCCCTCAAGCCCTTGACCGAAATGTAGTGGCCTCCATAGCCCATCAGAACTTCCTGGAGCAAAGGCAGGGTTGGAAAGAGCCATGCAGCTTCAATTTTTGGTTCTGCTTGGACCTTGAAGTTCTGGAGAACAGCACAAAACTATGACATTTCCTCTCTTTTTTTGTAGGGGGGGCTAATGACTAAGTGGCCAGAGTAGCCCTGAGCTAGGAGACCTTCTCTTTTTGTTATTCCAGGTGCGGCTGGAGTCATCTGAGGAGGGAAAGAGGGAGGTGTTGGTGGGCTTCCCATCACTCTTGACCTGCAGACCAGGACAACTGTGTGAAGGAGATGAGGAGGAGGAAGAGGAGGAGGAAGAGAAAGAGAAAGGTGATAATCCCGGCTTGCTCAGCAGGGACCTGGGCTGTTATAGGAGGGTTACAGGACATGCTGGGAGCAACTTGTAGCTTTTCGTGATGTGACTTATTTATGTATTTAATTTTTAAAAATTGCATGCGGCCTATTGTGCCATAGCCTCTCTGGGCATCTCACAATCTGAAATTAAAACCATGATAAAAATGGATTGTAACCTAAAAACATCAATTATTCCTAAATATACAACATCAGTTAAAATAAAATACAAGCAATGGTTTAGCAGACTTAGCCATGGCTATTTCAGGGTGTTCTTTTCTTCAGTTCTGTATCATCTTCTTATAGAACTTCTTTAAAAAAAACGATAGTCCCCAAAGAGGATAGCAAGGGAAAGGGTCTTCTCAGCGGTGGCCCCCCATTTATGGAACACTTTTTCCCAGTGAGACCTGCCCAGCATCAACATTGTCCATTATTTCATAATTTCTATACTATCCAGTAGTCCACACACTCCTATAACAGCTGCCCTAACTCAGTTCTTTTATTAGAATCCAGTTCTCTCTCTCTCTCTCTCTCTCTCTCTCTCTCTCTCTCTCTCTCTCTCTCTCTCAGACTAGCCTACCTCGTAGGGTTGTTGTGTATATAAAATTGACTGACCCGTGTGTCTCTCCCTATACTTTTTTGGAAGCAAGGTAAAAACTTTTTCTTAAATTGAAACTGACTTCATGGTAACAGCCTTCCCTCCGTCCCTTTCTTCCTCACAGTCCGTGGGAGGTCACCCCCGATGCTTTCTGGCTCACCTTCCTTTCATGCTGCCCTGGAACCACCCCAGGTAAAAGTTGGTGATGACGGCGGAGGTGTGGGAGAATTGTGGGTGGTGCCCATGACTGAGGGTCCTTTTGCGGGGAGGGGGGTGCTATAGCAAGAACAGTCAGCCTCTGGCTTTCCAAATATGTTGGACTACGCATCCCATCACCCCACCCATTGGCCATGCTGGCTGGGGCTGAGGAAAGATGGAGCGTGGAGGCCCACGGCTTCCGTCTTCCATGCGATGCCACAGAAGAGCTGCAACCTTGCAAAATAAATGCCATTTGGTGAGTATTTAACCTTGGGCTAGCCGGGCATTCACCAACCTGGTTCCGTCCGGATATCTGAGACTACAACTTCCAGCATCCTCAGCAGACAAAGCCAACGCTTGGGCTGGCGAGAACTGTGAGAGCATGGCCAGGAATCGGAGCAATAGGAATTGTGGTTCGACAACATTTGGGGAGAGTGTGACTTCCCCACTCCCGATCTGAGGCCGGCAGATTGGATTCACCCAGGCAGAGTCCTTGCACTGGACCACACAGTGTTTGGTTGCCGTTCTGCCTTGAGCCTTTGCAGGATCGTGGCCGTAAGAGCAGGAGGAGGAGGGCCCAGGCATCTGGCCTGCGGCTACTTCTGCTTCTCTGTCTCTCAGGGACTGGAGACCTTTGAGGAGACTGCCGTGTGCTTCAGCGAGGGCGAGTGGGCCCTTCTCGATCCAGGCCAGAGAGCTCTCTACAAGGAAGTCATGCTGGAGAATTACAGGAACGTGCGAGCGCTGGGTAAGGGTCTTTCAGCATGCGCTTTCAGGCCTTGCCTGAAAGTCAGGCAAGGCAAGAAATAATCAGAGTATTACTGGGATGAACCCTGGAGGAAGCAGCCCCTCCAGAAATTGCAGCCTTCCTCTCATGCTTGGCCCGCGGGGTCTCGCAAAGCAAGCCAAGGCAAGAGGAAGCCGGCAAACGCTCATGGAACGAAGGTTGCGCAACTGGCAACCTTGTTCCGCGTCGGACGCAGCAGCCCCAAGGGTGCCTGTACGCCGTGCAGAATGGGACGCTGCTCGCGGCCATGCAGACCTCCGTCCCTGGCTGGACCCGCTTGACCGGCCTGTTCCTCGCCAGGAATGGAGCCCCGCATGATCGCGAGCAGCGCCCTCTTCCACGTCATGTGTCAGCTCTCTGGGCTACTGCAGGTGGCACAGAACAGGTGGGACTCCACTCCTGTGAGCACCGGGCAACGTCGCCAGACTCGGGCTGCTGCGGAGGAGTCCAGGGAGCCAAGCCCAGGGAATCTGACGGATGCCCAGTCCCTGTGGAACTTCTCCCACATTCCTAGCTCAGAGTTTTTCTTCTATCCCAAGCTTCCCTATTTAGCAAGGACAGTCCCTCTTTTCTGCCACACTGTCTGTGTCACCGTTCAGGGCACCGTCCAGCGAGCCAGGCCCTATTTAGGGTACCCTGTTACATTGCCCCTCCATGCAGTTTTCTCTGTCTCGCATTCCCAGTGCTCCACGTTCTGTGGCCACAGATGATGCCCAATCCTCACTGAACTGTTTTGGGTGGTTTATTTCTTTCCTCCCTCGTATTTCCCTCCTTCAAGAAGAGGGTTTGTAACAGGGCTGAACAGGGGGTTTTAACAGGGGTAGGCATGTCATGAGCAGAGCTGGCTGGAGCCAGGGGTCAGACTAGATGGCCTGGAAGACCCCTTCTGACTCGCTCTGTTTCTATGTTTCCAAAACAGTCACATGCAGATTGTGTCACTGCATTTCACTAGGAGGAAACATTGTTTACCCCTGTCAAAAGCCCTGTTTTAAAAGAAACCTTTACTTTTGACAGCTGCAGGTGCACCCAATTGGGATGGCTTGTGCTTTTCCTCTTTCCTGAGCACCTCAGAGGATCAGGAACGGGGCAAAGGTGGGGGACACTGAGAACTCTTAGGGCCGCACTCAAAACCTAGAGGATCTCACTATGAAGGGGGTGATAGATCTCGCAGCTTGGTGCTCTTGACAGTTTGCCATTTGACAGCTGTCAAAGGAAAGAAAAGCCAATTACACAGAATAATCCATTTAAGCTGAAACAACCCAGATTCAGGCTAGACATCAGGAAAAACTTCCTCACTGTCAGAGCAATAGGACAGTGGAACCAGCTGCCTGGAGAGGTGAGGGGCTCTCCCACACTGGAGACGTTCAAGGGGAAACTGGACGGCCATCTGAGTGGGATGGTGTAACATGGAGTCCTGCAACTGCGGGGGGTTGGACTTGGTGGCCTTCATGGCCCCTTCCAGCTCTACTATTCTATGATTCAGTGACTTGAAGCTTGACTTTAGCAGTGCCCATGAATGGTTCCTACTTTGACAACAAACCCTTGTTATTAAATGTTATAATAATAATAAACCCTTAAACCATTAATAAAATGGTAATAAATAATAATAAACCCTTAAACCATTAATAAACCATTAATAAAAGCATTTATTAAATGTTATAATAATAATAATAATTATTATTATTATAGCATTTCTATGCCGCCCCTTGCCGAAACCTCGGGGCGGCTTACAACATGATAAAATACATTGAAATACAATAGTACATAATAAATTACCATTAAATATAACAATACAAAAAATACATTAATAAACCCTTGTTATTAAATGTATTATTATTATTATTATTATTATTATTATTATTATTATTATTATTATTATAATGGCCGGGCACCACTTTTGGGTAGGCAGAGCTGTGCACTGGCGCACCTCCAAACCAGAGACGAAAAAAGGAGAAAATATTTTTGCACGTTCCTGGTGCCAAAAAAAGAAGAAGTGGCGAAGCGGTGATAACTACTCCATGGTACCACTTGGCACTTGGGAGGGGCTTCCAAAGGCTGTTACTCTCACTTAGGGAATTCAGAAGTGATTTTGAGAAAAGGGGAGAAATTGCACAGCAGCCACAAAGGAGGTTGCAATCAGAGTTGGACGGGCGGACGCTTGCGGGGGCGGCGAGTGGTGGTGGTCCGGGCAGGCTCAGCAAAAGTAGCATGGAGGTTTGCTGCTCTTGCTGGACAATCCACTCATTGCTTCCCCAGGCCCATGATGAGGCCGTTTGCCTGGGTTCAGATGACACAACAAAACAGCCTCTAGAGCAAAGTATAGGGTGGCACGGTGCCCTGAAACAGCTCGCCCTGCAAAAATTGACCTGGGCTCATATAACGTAATAACCGTCTGTGGCTTCTTACTTTTGAAGTATGATGCAGACTCAGGAATAAATGTTCTAAGTGTTTTTGTACTTGATAGTCGTAAAAATAACTCCTTGATTCCCTGACTTTCTTTCTCTTCTTTAAAGGATTTTTGATTCCCAAACCAGACATCATCTCTTGGCTGGAAGGAGGGGAAGATTTATTCATCCACAATTCTAAAGAAACAGACAGGGCGAATATTGCAGGTAATTGCTTACCTGTGTTTCAGGACCATTAATGTCTGAGATATATCTGGTATCGAAGGGCTGGTGGGCTATTCCAGTGTTATTTCTCCCTCTCTGCAACAAATAGACCTATTCAGTTTTGAGTCTCAAAAGTGCACACACTCCCTTCTTTAGTTGATTGGTATTTACTTCAGAAGTGTTTCAGGATGTTTGCCCGCCTTGGAAGTATTGCCCTCACTCTGAATTGACTTCGACATCAATGATGTCAGCCTGTAATCAAAGCTGATTGGCTGGTTACAAAGTATAGCAACATCATCCTATTCACTCCGTGATCTTCAGCTGGCTGGCAACAATTAAGTGACTGATTGAGAGAGCATTGCCCTCACTCAGAATTGGCTCCATATCATCTCAGTGACAGGAGACGTGTAGTAACCTGACCTCACATGTTTACTCCATGATTCCCAATTCAGTGAGATTGTTTATGTGACCCAGCTGGGTAGAAGAAGGGTGATGACAGGCACATTTTAAATTATGTTCATGCCCTGAAAGGCAGCATAGAAAAACATGAAACAGAATAAATAAAAATTCTTGTATGAAGAAGGATTAGCGATGTGTCACTCTGTGGGTTGAATCCAACTTTTACTTATGCTGGAGGAAACCCACTGAAATCAATGGGACTTATGTTAGTCATGGCTACGTCTGGATCCAATCTCCCTTCTCTTTAGTCTTCTCCACTTTTCTGGGTTTACTCCCTTTCTGAAACTGGGACCTATTTATCTTGTTCTCACTTTCTGCATGTCCTGACAGTCACTGTTGCTATAAATGAGATCAAGGAAGAAAACCTGTGTCAGGAAGTCCCTGGGCTGGAAGAAACATCTGAGATGTTCCCAGGAGGACGTCAGGAGAGCATTTTCTTGACAACGGAGGACTGCGAAAGTGAGTACTCCAGTTGTAGTCCGGTGGCCAGAGTCCCTTCTCGGCACGGAGATGGTCCCAAGCCAGGTGGGGCTAGAAAATCCCCTGCCAGGAACCTTGGGAAGCTGATGTGGCCGGTTGCTGCTGGTAGCACTTGGCTAGAGTTCCTCATGACCTGACTCAGCCTAAGGCAGCTTCCTTTGTTTCTATTTAGTTCTCTTTAGACAGAACCATGAGGACTGGAATCTTGCTTTGAGGTGGGAATAGCAATAACTCAGGGGAAGAGCCCTGCTTTGCAGGCAGGGGAGAGAACCACACCTGAAACCCTGGAGAGTTCCTGCCAGCCTTTGTTGGAAGTCCTGGACTAGATGGCCCAAGGGTCATGCTCAGCATGTGACAGTTTCACAGAATCCTAGGATAACAGAGCTGGAAGGGACCAGAAGGCCATCAGGTCCAACCCCCTGCTCAGAGCAGAACTCCAGTTAAAGCATCCTCTGAGGTTCTAACATTCCTTCTTAGAAGCAAACAAGAAAGGAAGCTATCATGGAGGATGCAGCTTGCAGAGAGACTTTTATTTGGTTTTTTAAAAAAAGAAGTGATTTCCCCCACCAGCTGAAGATTTTGGGTTGAGTATTCAGTGTTTCTGGTTAAAAGGATCTTGGATGGCAGGTAGCTGGAGTGGGGGAGATGGAAATTTTAGTTCCATGCAGTTGAAAGTGGGCTGGAGGCAGGAAAGTTTTCCAGCTGGCCGGCAATATTTTGCTGCCTGGGATAGGGCAGCAAATGCTCTCAGTGCCCAGAGCCATTTCAGCTGTTTTGCACAAGAGGCAGAACCCCCCGCAAGACCTGCTGCTGCTGCTGCTGCTGCTGCTGCTGCTGCTGCTGCTGCTGCTGCTTCTTCTTCTTCTTCTTATTATTATTATTATTACTACTACTACTACTACTACTACTACTACTACTACTACTACTACTACATTTCTATGCCGCCCCTTGCCGAAGCCTTGGGGCGGCTTACAACACAATAAAATACATTGAAATACAATAGAACATAATAAATTACCATTAAATACAAAAATACAAAAAATACACTGAGTTACAAACATAATATAAAATTAAAATTATCAGTATAAAATAAGTAAATAAATAATATAGGAGGAGAAAAGAGAAGGAAGAAGAAGTTGCCCTGGCCAGATCATATATTTTAACAATTAAAATGATGTTTAAATAAAAAGGTCTTTACCTGGCGCCGAAAAACCAGTAACGACGGTGCCAGGCGGACCTCTTTGGGGAGTGAATTCCATAGGTTGGGCGCCACCGCAGAGAAAGCCCTCCTCCGGGTACTTACTCTCCTAATTTCTTTCATGGAGGGTTCCCGGAGAAGGGACTCTCCTGCAGATCTCAAGGGGCGGTCGGGCAAATACGGACGTAAGCGCTCGTTCGGGTAGCCAGGACCCAAGCCGTTTAGGGCTTTTTATCCCTGGCAGTCAAAATGCACATTAATGCACTGAGAATTTCCTGTCCTTGCCTGGTGGCTGTGATGCGCTGCCTCCTTACACAAGGGCTGACCCTGGCCCGGCTCGGAAATCACCTGCCCGCAGCCTGTATTTATTATTAAACATTTATAAGCATTTATTATTTCTTAAATTTACATCCCGCCCTTTTTTCTTACAAAGAGCTCAAAGTGGCTTACATCATTCTCCAACTTCTGTTCTCAAAATTATTCCCACAACTGCCTGTAAACCATTCAGAGAGTGAGTTTGGATATGGAGGATGGTACATAGAAGCTTCAATCAATCAATTTTAATTTAATTTAATAATTTAATTATTATTACTACTACTACTACAAATATTTGTATCCCGTCCTTCCGCATAGGTGCTCAGGACGGCTTTCATAGTGTAAAATTAAAATAATACAATAAGACATTTTTGTATTTAATTAATTTAAAATAAAACAAAATAAAATAACCCTGTGAGGTAGGCTGGGCTGAGGGTATGTGACTGGCCCAAAGTCCCCCAGTTGGCTCCACGACTGAGCGGGGACTCGAACCCGGATCGCCTGAGTCCCAGTCCCAGGCTCTTAACCACTACACCACACTGTGGCTCTCATTTTATTTTATTTTTATTTTTATTTTTATTTATTCATTCATTCATTTAGAGCATTTGTATGCCGTCCCATCTCATAGCCTCGGGACGGCTTACATAAAATAAAACATAATACAGACAAAATCCAGATTCACAGTACAAGTGGTGTAACGGAGCCTCTGAACTTGTCTGCAATCTGCACAGGAGCTGGGAGGGAGCGGGGAGGAATAGTGGAGTTGAATAGTAGAGCTGGAAGGGGCCAGAACAGCCATAAGGCTCCAGGTAAACCATCCCTCTTAGATGGCTGCCCAGCCGCATCTTGAATGCCTGCGGTGTGGGAGAGCCCTCCACCTCCCTGGGTCACGGGTTCCACTGTGATATGCTCTAACAGTTAGAAAATTTCCCCCAATATCTAGCCAGAATCGAGCTTCCTGCAACTTGAGCCTGTTCTTTCATGTCCTGTGTTCTGGGATGACTGAGAAGAGATCCTGGCCCTCTTCTCTGTAACAGCCTTTCAAGTACTTGGAGATACTGCTATTACTGGTAATACTTCTGGGAGCTGTGAGAGCCAAATTGCAAGGTTTTGGAAAGGTTTCCAGAAGTTCTTATTTAGGCAATACCTCAATAGGATACGGTCAGTGGCACTGATTTTTCCATCTGACCATCTGCTTTTGTTTGGGTAGCGGGGGGAATAAAGAGAGGTGATTTTGTTAGAGTCTGGTGCCTGTTCTTAATGTAACTCTGAGTGCTTGATGGAGTGGATCGCCCTCCAGTTGATTACTTTGATTCCTGCTCTAGTAGGTTTTTATAGAATATAAACAGGCTAGTTAACAACTGATTTTCTTAAGTGTATTATTGTGGCTATCAATAATGTGAATATGTTGTAAAATAAGAAAAAAGAAAAAATAGATAACAACTTTCAGAGCTTGAAGGTCAGAAAGAGAAGGAATTACCTTCTAGCATGAAGTGATGGAGTCCCAGTTAGCACCTTGGTGACTAGTGATACCTGTGTGTTCAGTAGTGATACCTGTGTGTTCTTCCTCTCCATCTCTCTCCCTCCACCAGGTGATGGCACAGGTAGTGAGAGTGAGACAGGTGTGACCCGGCAGGCTGGCTCCTCTGCACCTGATGGAATGATACCAGGAGCTTCCCAAGGGGAAGTTCCCATAAAATCTGAACCTCTCGATCAGGACTATGAGTCTGACAGGCAGCCCTGGCAGCAGACAATGAAAATGTGGGGTATATCAATTCAGAAAGTGGAAAATGTGGCAGATAACATTGGGATAGCTCATGCCGAAGAGGAACGCCACATGTGTCGTAAATGCGGACAGACTTTTGAACACCAGTCAGGACTTATTGTGCACCAGATGATCCATACGGCGGAGAGGCCCTATGAGTGCCTTGAGTGCGGCAAGAGCTTCTGTCAAAGGGAGAACCTTCTTGTACATCAGAGAATCCATTTGGGGGAGAGGCCTTATGAGTGCTTTCACTGTGGGAAGCACTTCAGCACCCGGTCGCATCTTATCACACATCAGAGAATCCACACAGGTGAAAAGCCATTTGGTTGTCTTCACTGTGCAAAAACCTTCAGCAACAAGTCCTCGCTGGTCACACACCAGAGAATCCACACAGGAGAGAAACCGTATGAGTGCCCTCAGTGCGGGAAAAGCTTTTGCCAAAGCGGACAGCTGATTCGACACCAGAGAATCCACACAGGAGAGAAGCCTTATGCATGCCCACAGTGTGGGAAAAGTTTCTGCCAGAGGGGACAGCTCATCAGGCACCAGAGTATGCATACTGGAGAGAAGCCTTTTGAGTGCCTCCAGTGTGGAAAGAACTTTAGCCGGAAATCTTATCTTGACATTCACTTGCGGATGCACTCGGGGGAGAAGCCTTACGAGTGCCCTGAATGCAGGAAAAGCTTCTGCCAAAGCGCCCAGCTGATTCGGCATCAGAGAATCCACACGGGGGAAAAACCGTTTGCATGTTCCGAATGCGGGAAAAGCTTCTGCCAAAGCACCCAGCTGATTCGGCATCAGAGGATCCATTCAGGGGAGAAGCCGTTTGCCTGTTCTGAGTGTGGGAAAAGCTTCTTTGAGAAGGAAAAGCTGGTAAGGCATCAGGGAACCCACATGGAACCAAAACCATATGAATGCACCGAATGCAGGAAAGGCTTCCCACGGAAAGATAAGCTGGTTTATCATCAGAAAACTCACACAGTGCTTGAAACCTTATGAGAGTTTCTTTAAAAAAAAAAAAGGAAAGAAAAAATCTGTTGAGTTTCAGGCAAAACACATGTCGTTACTTCTTTGAGACACATCAATAGATTTCTGCAGGAGTTCAGGACATCCCAAATATAAGAATAAAGACATGAGAGAAAAGCAAGCAAAGAGTCCCGCAAGTTCAGCCTTCAATGGCTGACTGGATGCTAATGGAGACTTGTGAGTAAGTCATGAAAGATAATGGCCATTTGCCTTGTGAATCCTCTGACTACCTGGGAGAATAATTTGCTCCACCAATTAGAACTATCCAATTGGAATGGGAAATTCTGGAATCGCTGTTGTCCAAACTGGTACAGAACAAAGACAGTTCTGCATCTGTAGGGCAGTTAAGTTGTTTTCGATCCTGGACTCGATGGTCTTACAGTGATGGGATGAGGGGGGGTTCCCCTCTTTAGATGGTGATGTTGCTTCACGTATTTCAGAATGTGGCAAGTTGGCCTTCTTTCTTTAGGGGTTCTCCTTTTGATTCTTCTGTGTGGGACCCTGGACATTTGCCCCAAAGTCCTACCCTCTTGGCACCACTGCTTATTTCAGAATGGAAACCAGCTGAAACTGAGTGTAGAACGTCACGTAGAATTATTTAAATAGGTAGATCCAGATTGGCTGGGTAATGTTGGGTTATCCAGAGAATAATGTTGTGCATCTCACAGTTCATGGGTCTTGTCTTGGTGTCACTAGTTCTATTCCTATTCCACCCTTGATGCAATATTTGGACCAACTTGTAGATGGGGAAGCAGCGTTCTGGAGAGATTCTGTCTCAAAACCGTGACCATGCCGGTTCCTCAAAATGTCATCCAGTCACCCTAACGAGGTTTCAACTGAAAAGCATTTTCAGAAGAAATCTTGGCCTGTCTGATGAAAGTCGGGAACGTTCATGCTGTTTTGACTCCATCTCCACTACGGTTTTCCCCTTCTGCCCCCACAAGGGCTGCGTGGGCTTTTGCTCCTCCCACCAACGTCCTTTCCCTTTGCGCCACCATCTTTTCCTTTGCTGCCACTCGGTTCTCCGTCTGCCAATCATCCCCGGCACCCATTTCACGATGCTGTCAATGTCCACGACGACGACAGCAAAGCAGTAGCCGTATGACGCTTTTAAAAGCTGTTGCAAGCTTTGCAGGCACACGGGGGGGCAGACCAGTGACAGTCTGACCAAGGACTTAAAGTCCACCTGCTAAATGTCGGAACGATTTTGACGCAGCCCCAGCTGTTGCAGGTGAAGGGTGGGAGAGCAGAGCTGAGCAGCTAGAATGGCCCAAAGCCACCTCTGCTGTTGGGCCAGTGGCCATGTAAATCACACACACGCACAGAGAGAGAGAGTGCAAACGCACACACAACTCCCAGCTCCTAAAATGTGTCTGTTTACAGAACAGACACACAGCCAGCTTCATGTATTACAGCCAGCTCTGTAGTTCAGCTCCAGCAGCCCCAGCTGTTGCAGGTGAAGGCCGAGAGAGCTGAGCAGCTAGAATGGCCCAAGAGCCACCTCTGCTGTTGGGCCAGTGGCCATGTAAATCACACACACGTGCAGAGAGAGAGAGAGAGAGAGAGAGAGAGAGAGAGAGAGAGAGAGAGAGAGAGAGAGAGAGCGCAAACGCACACACAACTCCCAGCTCCTAAAGTGTGTCTGTTCACAGAACAGACACACAGTCAGCTTCATGATTACAGCCAGCTCTATGGTTCAGCTCTACACCTTCCGTACCAGAGGAGGCATCCCTCACAGGTTTTAAGAGGAGCCAAGAGTAGTGGAAAAGGTCCAGAGTAGGTTTTCAGTGACCTCCCCAGAATCCAGCCTGCTTCTGTTTGTTGGGCTCCTCCTGGATCTTGCCCATGACTCAGGAAGCAAGACAAGCGGGGAGGAAGTCCACAGATGCCCCTGCAACCCCAGCTGCGTGACCAGCAACCTTCTGCAGCGAGTGTAACACAAAAGGCACGCAATCCCTGGTGGACAACTGTGCAAATGGACTCATGGCTGCGAGAAGGGGGGCTGGTGTCTGGGGTGCTGAGTCCAGGGAATCCCACAGACGCCTACCCTCAAAACAGATTCTCCACATATCCCTACTTCAGAGTCCCCGTGATTCTCCAGAAATCACACCAGCCCTGTGATGGGTTTGCATCACTCCTGCATCTATCCTCAGCAGTCGTTTGACAAACTGAGCCGAGGGGGCAATCCTATGCGTATTCGGGCAGATTAAAAGCCCCAGTGCTGCCAGGGAGCTGTCGGACTTCCTTCTGTCTGGAGGATTGCACCCTAAATTAAGAAGCCCACCCTAGGTCATCAAACCGCTGGGTGTGGAGAAAAGTTATTTAGCTTGTAGATTTCTGCCATTCTCTGTTTAGGCTGCTACTGAGATCTTTGTATTTTGAAAGGAAAGATGAGATTTCAGAATTCAGCCTAAAAGTCTGACAAAACTTTCGATGGAATTGCACTGAAGTTCCCACGTTACGGTTCCTTCTTTCTCTTTTGCAAAATACTGAAATTTTCCCCTGTGGCTGTCCAAAGGTTTCCAGCAAGTGCAGTTGGAAACTCACTCATTACTTCACGAATAAGGATTTCTAGCTAGGATCATTTTGCATAGCTGATAATGGAGTAGAGGCTTTTAGATTTAGTTTTTGCTGCCAAGAGATGGGGCTTGGAATCCATCCAAATGGGGCTGCTAAACCTGGGGGCTGAGAGGAAACCAACAAAGCCAAATGTCAGCTAGGTGTTTAATTGCCTCATAGGGGATGCTGAAATAATGTCCTTCATGTATGGTGTTCACTACACAGGCATCTGTGTTCCTCCACGCCACACACACACATACACACACACCAAAGTACATACTACAAAGGGCCAACAAAGTTATTTTGGAACCAATGTAGAGAATTCCACAAGCATCGCTTCCCCCAAAGGCATAAAGATAAAAAGAAAATCGCTTCTCTATCAGGATACCTAAAATTCCCTCACTCTGTCTAATGTGAGACAGTCAGCCTATTGAAATGAACTTGCAAAGTTTCTGGTCCCTAGTGTGTCAGTTAGGCCCAATGGTTTTGGAAACCCTCTCGGGTGTCTATTAAATGTCTGAAGAAGCTACCCTCCTCTCACCCTTCACATCATGTGAGGGCCAGCTCTCTTTTAGGTGCCAGATGCTGTCAGTTTGATTTAAGGAAAAAGCTAGACCCAGATTGTTGTATTTGTGTTTTCTTGATTTTGTCACAAAATTTGTCTCCGCTGATGTGATAAGCGATGTCGCTTGCTGCAGATTCTGCTGTTGAATCACCGCTGCTCTTGGATTACAGATCAGAGTGGACACCCAGTTCACAGAAAAAATGGAAGTTGTTCCTTCAGTCACCTTGCGTTTACCCCCCACACCCCCCCCGCCACACCTACCCAGCTGTGGGACACTGGACAAGAAATCCCGTTCATGAAGTGAAATTGTATTTTGCTTGGCCCCATGTTTGTGCGTGACGTTTGTGGTCCGTTTCTATGTTGGCATTGGGGGCTCGTGGCATTTTCTTCTTCAATAAATGATCTACACTTTAAGCAAATGTTGCATCCGAGATTGTATAATGACCAAGCAATTCTTGATATCTTAGGCTCTTGTCGATAGCAGCCGTGAGACAGGATTCCCAGGTTCGGTCAGGAAAGACCCCTTTCGCCTTGAACCGCAGCAGTTTTACTGAAAGATCACCCAGGAGCCCTGCAGCTTCTCACAACAGCATGCGGCCAGGGAGTGCTTCCCAGGGCCAACTACGAGCTTCGAGAATATACACAGACTGTTTTGCAGATTCTGAGTCACATGCGCCCAGGAGCGGGGCAGTTCCCTCCCCTTTCATCCTTTGCTGTGGGCAGCTGACCTGTCAAGGGAGACCTGGGCAACCTTAGGGGCTTCTTTCCTCTCCTAGAGGGGGAAATGCAACGGAGGGTGACTGCAAAGCTGTTCCCCTGGCAGCCTTATCCGCTCTCACTGATCAGTGAAAAAAATGGCCCTGGCAGCTTCTCATAACAAGATTTGAGTTCCTACTTCTTAGTAACTGCAAATGCTAAACTGTAACCTGGCCTGGAATTCTGGTGCTTTCTGAGAAATGGGTGCAGGTATTTTTAGAACACAGAGGTGCATATAAGCAACCTTTTCCTGCCAGGATTCATCTCTATTTTTCCAACACTTTGCTTGCACACACCTGGCCCAGTGGCAGCATGGAGAAGGCTCCATCAGCTTCCCAGCCCTCCCTTCTGGGGACAATCCACGAGACGGAGCAGGAGATCTTGAGCAGGATGTGGGCCCTCCATGCTTCCTTCCCCGATGCCTCTCCTAGTTGCATCCTCCCCTGAGGTCCAGCCTATGGGTGAGGAAGGGAGAGCGGTGCTTTCTAAGGAAGCTGCAAGAGGTGGAAGGCCGTTATCCCTTCCTTCGCCGAGCCTTGGAGCAGAACTCTGCTATATTCAATGGTGAACTCGGGAACCAAAGTGTGACTTTCTCGATGTCGATTATGTCTGCAACAAGTCATATATATTGCAATACAATAAGTGTAATATAATTAATAAGTAATTATATAATTAATGAGACAGAAGTGTAGTATAACTAATGAGTGATAGTGAGAGTAATAATTAGTGTAATGCTACTGAGTGTGAGAAAGGACACTCCTTTGGAAGAGGCCAGAGGGACGCGCTCCAACGGAGCAAAGCTTAGGGAGCCAAGGCTCCATTTCGGTGCCAGGAAGCACTTCCTGACCGTTAGGACCCCGAAGGTGTGGAATGGGCTCCCACAGGTGGTTGGTGCTCCATCAGTGAGGGTATTCAAAGATAGGCTGGACGTGCACATGGTGGGCATGTCGTGAGCAGAGCTGGCTGGAGCCGGGGGTCAGACTAGATGGCCCGGGAGGCCCTTCTGACTCAATCTGTTTCTATGTTTCATCGGGTCCAACCCCTTGCTCAGTACAGGATGCCAAGTCAAACCATCCCTCTCAGATGACCATCCAGCTGTGTCTTGAAGATCTCCAGTGTAGGAATGCCCACAACCTCCCTGGGTCACGGGTTCCATTCTTGCACTGTCCGAACAGGCAGGAAAGTTTCCCTGAGATCCAGCCAGAATCGGGCGCCCTGTAACCAGAGCCCATTATTCCATGTCCTGCACTCTGGGATGATCGAGAAGAGATCCTGGCCTTCCTCTTTGTCAGGTATTTTGAGTGCTAAGCTGCTTTCTCTCATACTTCTCAAGGCTGAACATGCCCAGTTCTCTCGATCTTTCCTCATGGGGCTTTGTTTCCAATCCCAGGATCATCTTTGTTGCCCTCCTATGAACGCTTTCCAGCTCGTCTGGTTTTATGTGTCAAGTTACGCTTCTTGCACTTAGAAAACTATGAGTTGAAAATGTAAATGTGAAAACCTTTTCAGGTAGGTGCTCCAAGGCACATTACTTATTTATTCATTATTTTTATAGCTGCCTTTCCTTCCCACTCTGGAATTCAGTGCAGCTAGCAACATAAATATTCAAAGTGTCATCCGAGAATGGAAATATAATAAAACACAAGGAGGGCTCAGCCCTACCGCCTCTTGGCATCCTTCTGGGAGGTCCCAGGATTCTGCTGAGAGCTCATGAGCTTGGAGCGCCAAATCCCCAGGTAGCTCCCCCCCCCCGCCACTTGCACAGAAAGAGCTGCACCAGCTGCCCC